ATTATTTGAATTTTTAATTTTTAATTTTTTTAAAAATAATTTATTTATATATTTTGATTATTATTTTTAATTTAGGAAAAAAGGTTTGGAATTCAATTCCTCGTAAATTTACCGGGAATTACTAGGACTTGCACTGTGCCTCTACAAGGATTTTACGAGAATTGGCTATAACGAGGAAATCATTACAAGATTTTTACGAAGAAAGTTTACGTGGTTTTAACGAGAAAACCATTACGAGAACTTTATGAGAAAAATGTTATGTAGCTTTAACGAGGAAAAGGTTACGAGATATTTACGAGGAAATACTGTAAACGACTTTACGAAGAATTTTTTCCTCATAAATTAACAAGGAAAGCAAGAAGAAATTCGAGTTACGACATCACGATGATTTACATTTGCTCGTTATTTCTTCGTAAACCCTCTTGACGAGGAAATAACTAGGAATAGCCGTCATAGCTATATTTGTGTTTTCTTGTAGTGTTAAATTTGGTGGTTTAAAAGGAACTCTCTCATTTATATATATCTTCTTTTCCTAATTAGAATATGATTTTCTGAGTCTAAAATCTGAACTATATTGTATATAATCTGTTGGGTTTAAATATGTGTTCTACTTTTTTTTTTTTGGGCAACATACAATTTTATAAATCTAAACAATTTCAGTACACAGCAGCAGAGGAGTAGAGTGCCGTTTTTGCAAGAGCATCAGCAGTAGTATTGTTCTCTCTACCAATGAAAGAAACAAAGAAAAACATAAAAGAAGAGGATAGAAACTCGATATCCATGAGAACTCCATAAAGCTCCACCGGATATAACTTCGAGTTGATAGCTCTAACGAGCTCCTGAGAGTCGGATTTAAACCAGACGTTGAGAAGGGACTTGCACTTAGCATCCTGAATAGCTTCCCTCATCGCCAGTGCTTCCGCCATGAGGGGGGACGAGACATACTCGATAGCCCGTGATGCCTCCGTTAAACCTGCATCATTAACATGAAAAACCCAGCCCAGCCCTGCCTTGTGATTCGTAGCCCATGCAGCATCTGTGTTACACACAGTAACATCGGCCGACGAGGGAGGTAAGCTCGGGTATACGTGGTTACTTTGTGAATTAGGGGTCGCTTGGCCTTGTGCATGTAGCCATTCTCTCGTTGCAGGGAGAACCTTCCATAGCGTTTCTTTTCCGGAACAAGACCTGTTTTCAAATATCAGGTGATTACGAGCATTCCATAATCCCCATAAAAACCAAGAGGCTGGGTTATTAGTGAGACCCGTCGGTGGCAGACTTTTGAGAGTCGACATGATCGTGAACGCATCATGGAGTGTAGAAGCCGTGGCAAAATATGTGTTCTACTATAACTACATTTGAATGTGTTTTGAACTATAAAACTGAAAATGAAGAACTCATTTATGACTTAACTGCGATTTCAGTCTCTTGTTTGCGTCTATACTTTGAAGACTATATATATGTTCTATATTTCATAAATCTTAAATTTCTTGAACTCGTGACTATTTTTTCTCTTGAATATGTATATACACACATTTTCAAAATAAGAAATATTTCTCTTACCCATCATATGTCATGTAAATGTGTTTCTTTGGGCAGTATGTTTGATAATCATGTGACTCCAATCACCACGTATGCCTGCAGGAAAAAAATGGTACAAATTAGAACTTGTGATTTGTATGGTTACCAAAATTGTAAACATTTATATTTTAAGTTTCTTAAAGCACTAGTTTTGATGATTATGAGATTTTGGACTTGGAAGGCTTGTAAATACTCCAGAACAAGATTTAAACCATGTTAAATTAACTTTTTATGATATTAGACATTTTCCAATAAAATTGAATATATAGCTCTTTATATTCTTATTAGGTGGTCCAACAGTTTTAACTATTAGATCAATTTTTGTTGTTGCTAAATACAAGCATTAAATCAAATCTCTAGCGTGTATAGCTTCATATAATTGTTGGCGCATGGTAATTGTGCGGCCAGCCGTCAGTCATTCCTTTCAGCTTGATGGTCAAGTTTTTGTGCATATTATGCATACACACAAGAAATTTGAGTATGCTCAAAATTCATACAAAGTCATTATTTAATATATAGGTAAGAGCTCTACTGCCATCCCTTTCTCAAACCCTTCTCTTTCCTTGTTCTTTCGTCATCTTCATTTGCATCACATACACAAGTGCTCCCTGAACCTATATATAAATATAATATGTTTATTTTTGAGCAACATGTATATATTATATGTAAATAACAATTACATGTTTTTAAGGGTTGTGGTAACAATGGGTGCTCCATGAATAGGTGGACTATGATACATCACAATCCAAAACTAACAATAATTAAAATATATCATGAACTCGTGAATTATAATTATCCTATGTGCTATATTCATGTTGAACGCATCCAATTTTGTGTATACATTAGATTAAAATTTGTTTGTAACCCAGGTGCTTATGATCTATGCAATTAGATTCTGTCTTCTAAGTTAAACCTTACATTTAATTATCCATAAATTGTGCGTATAATATTATCAAAACCATATATTTCTAATAAATTATTTACATATTTATTTAAAAATTACACTAACTCTATTTGAAAACAATTCAAAATTTCTTATTTTATCATGCATTTTATTATATATCAAGTATTAGTATATTAGTCATATATAACCGGTGTTTTATTTCAACTAAAGATGGGTTTTTGGATATCCATTAAGATTCGGTTCAAATCTATTTGGATTTTAGGTTTTTGGGGCTAGAATTTTAAACTTTAATCAGATATTTATAAATTTCAGTTCGGGTTCGGTTTCTTACGAGTTCAGTCAGTTTACTTTAAATCCTTAAAATCAAAAAATCAAAAATAATATACAACAAATAAATGACAATAATATATACTGAATGTAATAAATTAATTAAAATGAAAATTAATTCGGTTTGGATATTTGAATGGAAAACCAGTAGATATTTAGGATATTTTCGGTGTTTTGAGTATTTTGGGTATTTACTTTTGAGTATTTTAGATATTTTCAACTATTTTGACTATTTTTTAAATAATAAATCTTAATTTAGTATATTTATTGTGTTTGACTATTTTGAGAATTTAATTTTGAATATTTTAGATACTTTCAAATATTTTAAAACAAGTGGTATTCCGGCGCTACGCACCGGGTTAGTATCGGGTTAGTATGTTTTATTATTTAATGAGTTCACAATTGTTTGTTATCCTGAAATTATCAGTATATATTGATAAACTTTTACATTTTGTGTATGTTCTTTTAGCTGCTTCGTATGATGTTGTTGGGAGATGTTAAAATTAGATGGTCGATACGAGTTTCTAGCAAATATAGATTAAGTTATTGTGTTTTGTAGTTGGACATTCTTTATTTTTGTTGTTCATTAGGATATATAGTTGTTTCTACTAAATAGTAAATTAGTCATTTGTCTAAGGGAAGATTGCATTATGCATTAAAGTACTATATTTTCAAAATTTTCGTAGTAGAAAGGAGAGGTTTATGTTTCTATATTTCCAATGTTTGTCTTTAGTTGTTTTATTACTGATTTTTAATTATAAATTTGTTATAATTTACTAATTATAGTTTAATTTTAAGTCAATAGATGTGTACTTCTATAATTTTACTATCGTGTGGTTTTTGTTGTTGTATATGCCGAAGAGAAAATAATAGGTTCTCGTGATTTTTGAGTGTGTAGTGAAGAAGACGAATATCATGTGCCAAAGAAGGATAAGCATTTATATCATTTACATTTTCTTTTGTTTGCTCCAGTTATGGCTGTTGTTATTGGTTAGTGGTAATAGTTTTAATTTTTGTTAATGTATGAGAAAATTGCATGTGAATTTTGAAACTTTGATTGTAGACGATTTGAGATGACTGGTGAATGAGCGATAGGACATGAAAACAACTTTATTTATTTGGGCTAAGTTTGACTTCTTTTCCATCTGAAGTTTGATGTTATATTTCATGAATGTAGCTTACGCGGTAGTTATGTTGTTGGTTTACTATATATGTTCTCATACCTTGATTTCCATATACTATTTTTTTTGTTGCGAATCATTTTTTTGTCTATTAACGTGTTTTTTTGTCACATCTGTTGTTATGTTTAGTAATTTTTGGTGTAGTGTTATAAAAGATTCATTTAGAATGAAATGATTTCTTCTGAATGTTATGCATTATCTTATTAAAAAAAAATACAAATAAAAAACCCCTTAAAACTACTATTTATTTACAAATCAATATCACCAAATACTAAATAACCCTAACTTTTAATAATTTTTATTTTATAATTATTACGCCATTTTTAAAAATAATTATAATTAACAAAGAGTTAGACAGCAGCAAAATAAAATCAACACTATATTTATATCGTAGGTTGCAATAATATCACAATAAACAAAATACTCTAAAATTAAAATTAAAAATATTGTGGCTAAAATTGTGCCTTTTATTATTTTTGTACATTTTCGTATAAATAATATTTTAATGTAAATTCAATATTATAAACGTAAAATAAAATAAAAATATATAGAAAAATATTTTAAATACTATTAAAGTTAGATATTTAAATGAGATGATTATGAAATAAAAGATTCTTATAATTAGACCTAATGTAAAAATCAATTAAAATCTAAATAAACAAAAGATATTTAAAATTGGTCTTGAAAATTATTTAACAAATTATAGAATGACAAGTGTCAACTTTTATCCCTCAGGGAAGAAAAAAATTTACTTTATTATTAAAGATATTTTAAAACAATAGATCTAAAATAGTATTTTAAGTATATAGTTGTGAATCAGTGTTTTTAGATACTTCAAAATATTCCGAGTCTGTTTTGGATTCAGTTCTTTAGACACCATAATTTTGAACCTGTTCATATATCTTATCAGTTTCGATTTAGGTTCAGATTTGGTACAACTTTTTTGAATAAGGTTCGTTCTTCTTCGGTCCGGCTATTTTGTCGAGCTCTAATCTCAATAAAAAAAATCAACTCTCTATCGAAGAATTACTTGTTGAGTTTTGGTTTTATTACAAAACGATAAACAAACTTCAACAGCCTTCGGCTTAACATGATATTTGATCTGACCTAGATTCTAAATGAGACAGAGCTGATCAAGATGAAGCAAATGGCTTGCAAACCGGTAAGTCTTTGTCGAAGAAGGGTGCAGCCCCAAGAATTGGATTGGACTCAAAGAAATTGGCCGGTTTAAGCTCAAAGCTAGCCGCTACAGTTGGCATGACTGGATAATCTTCTTGACAAGGTACGTGATGGAACCCTAGAGTGTACCACAACACTATGTCCTTGTTTTCGATCGAATGGTCTCTGTTTCACCACAGGAAAAACATTATATCAATGTTTTAAACCAAAAACCTTTAACCATTATATGAGTCTGTTGATAGGGTGCGCTGGTTTCGTACCGATCTGACCAAACTTGTAGTGTATCATCGCCGTGGCTCTGGTAAACCAGAACTCCTCCAGCATATTGTTCTGACCGGTTATACTGAGTTACCCATATCTAAACCAATAAAAGCAATTGCATTGATCAGACCAAACATTTTGACACCTTGAGTCCTAGACCAAAATTTCAACTGATTATAAATCTCATATGCATAAACAAAGCTTAAAATTAAGTACCTGATTATTGCTGAATGCACCTCTAATCTGAGGAGGATCATCATGATCTAGCAAACTCGCTGCATTGCCACCCGGTATGATTCTGTAACCGGCCGGGTTTCCTATCCGAGACTTCCGGTCCGGGTTAACGATATGGAATTCATATGGGTCATAGAGGCTCAGTTTGATCTGTGCATCTTTCTCAGTCTTGGCAACATATTTCTTGACCTTCAAGTAACTCTTCCTCGGCGATTTTCCTGTTGGAACTCTTTGCTTCTCTAGATGAACCTTAACCAAAGAATTGTTCATCGGTCCATCAACGTCCATGTCTAGATGAAACGTTATGAAATGATCATGTACGACTCCAATCACATTCTCAGAGATCAACGGTCCAGCATCATCCTCTTTATCACCTAAGTCATCTACGTTCTCGTAAGGTGACCCTTTCACCATTAACATCCCTGAAGCTGCGACCTAAACAATAGCATTTACTATAAGAAAATTACTAGTATACAAAAAATATATATATATCATTTTTGACATACCGTGGCACGGATCAAACCATCAGTCTGAAACTCCCAGTCGAAAATATAGTCGTAGTTTCCGACCGAAGTTGCCATTCGAGCGACCAATGTGACTTTTGGCCTTGACTCTCTTATCTGTTAATAAGTCGTCAAATTAAGAATCGTTTCTCATTCAAATCAAAAGAAAGATAGTGGCATTATGCCAGGGATGTTGCAAAAGATAAACAGATCCGGTTTGTTCTGAACAAACCAAAACTGACATATATATAATAGCGCCTCAATACAATTACAATGGTTTTACTGTTTCTACAAACTGAATCCCAACACTAATTAAAATATAGTTTCATACGGAAAATATATATATTTAATTATTAGTCAAGAAGCCCAACCTGTACAAAATTAAAAACGTACTAAACCTATACATATTATCTTCTATCTGGTGGCTATTTCATAAACCAAAATCCAGAAGAAAAAAAACAAACTAACTAAACATGAATTTAATAGTTGATCAGTATGGTTAAAAAGGAAATACATCCACGTTGCCCGAACTAAACCTAAACATTGATTTAGTTACTATTATTTGAGTAAGATAAGAAAAAGAACAAAGGGGACGTACATCAACATTGGGGATTAGAATCTCAGAATGTCTCCAGCTGACATCGCCTGCGTAGCGTTCAAACAAGCATATCATATTAGGTTGAACAATGGCTTTTCCATCCGGAGAGGAAAAAACACCGTCTATGTAGTAAGCATTGCGGGGACAATCGTTGAGGGGCACAAGTGACATTGCTGTGGGGCCTAAACCAAGCTCGCCCGCATCCATATAAGCTTTGTAGTACCATCCTTCTTCTGGATCCATGTATGGTACAAACAACTCTGATGGGAACCCTTTGTACATGACACTTCTTGGTTCACCTATATAAATACAGTTCCACATTTATAGGTGTCAAAATAGAACTGACGATCGTCGGTTATCAAAACAAAAAATAAATTAGCCGTAATCTACTCCACTAAAATGAAATAATATAAACATTTAAAATTTTTATTATATTTTAAATTAAACATTATATTTGTATATTCGTGATATTTATGATATTAAAATTCTATTTATCTTTATTTATAACAAAAATTTTAAATAACTAAATTCATACTTTTAAATCAAATAATAATACTGAATATTTCTTGTCTTATTTTCATTCATAAATACTAATATATCAACATCGAGAAGCTCCCTTCATGCAGCCAAAAAAAAAAAATCCCTTCATATGGTTATTGAAGTACGTTGTTATATACCTGTCTCGGAGTCACGAACTGTGGCCTGAGATATGATCATACCAGCACGTTGGTCAGCTTTGATATGGAAAGCCCAATTAGCCCACTTAACCATATGTCCATCTTCGACCCGGAAACTTGGACCATCCGGCTGCTCCATCGAAATTGGGTTGATATGATCCATATGCACCGGTTTATTGTGAATACCAAACCGGTATTCTGTACCAGCGGCTTTGGGAATTGGAACCTGGCCTTTATCGACAATCTTGATAACCTCTAAGTTGTCTATATCGACTGTTACATAAAGACCTTCGATGGGTCTCATGAAATAGTTTGAAGTGTCCTGTAATGTGTAACACTGCACTCTTATTATTCGATGCCCCTCTTCTGCTGATCCAAACCATCCGGCGAATGGCGTTATGCATGCTAGGTCGGAAAATTTAACCCCACGCGCTTCTATTGAGCGGTTGAACTCGATGCTCTTGAAAGGAATCTGCATTGTGCGTACAAAATATTTATTAAACCGGTTCAGGTTATCTGGAAATATCAAACTGATCTACCTTGCACATAAATCTAAAGAAAATTGTAAGCATTTTTAATTTGATTCGTTTTGTATTTTAACTTCAAAATATTGACACCTAATCATCAGTAAACCGATGTAGTTACTTCGGATTTCAGAAGTAAATTATATCTGAATCCACAACAAAACAGAGCAGTTATTTTTCCTTCTATTTTAAGACAACATAAAACAGCTTCACTTCTTTAGAAAAAAAATTTGACCCGAAAAACCGATAATCTCTAAAACCATAGGGTAAGCCACCATACATACTTCTTTTTGTTTTTTCTTGAACACCCACCATACATATCCATAGTATTAGCATTTTTAGGTTCCGCGTATTAGTATATTAGGTTTTATTTTTGTACAAAATTTAAATAAAACAAGAAACGAACAAAAATTATAAACTATAACCGATTTTAAGTTAAAAGACAAAAATAAATAAGAAAACCAAGAAAGCTTTCAATGAAAATTCGGATAGACAATCTTGGTTTGAAAGCTAACCTAATAACACTTGATTTGTTAAGTAATGTTTTGGTCTTAATTTTAGATTTTTTTAAAAAAATTTGTGTTCTTCACTTAATTTTTCCTGTATTTTAAAATACCTAAATAGTGATTTATTTTAAAATAATACAACAAAACTAAAAAAAACAGGTACAGTAACTAGTAGTAAAAAAAAACAGAATTCTAGAAAACCAAAAAACACTCAAAAACTAGTCGTCTTACTAACTAGTAGTAAAAATGTTTTTTTTTATTATTATTTTAAATATATTAACGGTTTATTTTAAGTTATTATATTCTTACAATAGAAACTTATATTTACTAAAAATACAAGTTATGAATATCTACAGATAATATAAAAAAATTTAGTTATAGGCATATATTTACCTTAAAGTTTACATGAATTTAATTAATATTGATGAATTATATTGTTATTTACAAAAAAATAAGAAAATTATTTGACAAAGAAATTAGGGGCCCAAAAAATTACCATGCTTTTCTTTTCAGAAAACTCCAAAAATATGAATTCTGATTTTTAATTATAATGTTAATAGAACCGTGGAAAACTAGTTGTCTTATTGTGTAGGAAAACTTTTTTGGCAAAATGTTGAATGACTGTAAAACAAATTTCTAGAAAACCCAAAACCAAAAATCATTTCAAAAACTACATACAACATTCCGTATTTCAAGAAAACCATTTCGACACCTGTGAAGCCGCGAAGATATCGTCCATAGTGAGAATCGGATAGCCACAAGTCGGATTAACCAAGTCAGAAACGACCCGACCCGAATCAAGATCCACAGTCATCACGTGGCTTTGACCACCCGACAAAGCGACGACCTCAGCTCTTCGCGATGGAAGCCGGTTCCCTTTCTTCCACTGGATGACACGTAGCTTCTCCGGCTCGTCGAGGGCCATGGAGTGGATCGTGGCCGACCCGGAACCAAAACCCGGGTCATGACCCGAGAGGATGGTTCGGACTCTCTCGATTTCTTGCACTGTTAGTGGGTCAAGGGGATGATGAGGCTGTTGGGAAGAGTGGTCAACACGGAGTTTAGGATCCGACCTGAGAGTTTTTCGGACATGGAAGCTTGAGTCGGGTCCAAAGACCCAAGAATAGGTGGCGAAGAGAAGGAGAAAGCTGAAGAGGAAGAGAGAGAGGCGAGCAAAAGATGGTTCCGCCATGTTTGAGTGGAGAGAGCTTTATGACTTTGGGGTTTTAAAACCTTTGAGTCAACAAGTTTACTTAATACTTATAAAAGCTCTGAGGCATGCAACTGTGCAAGTACAATTATTTTTCTACATAAATTATTTATCTGTTTGTCACGTTATTGAACAGATAAAAATAATGTTTTGAGTCCAAAAGAAAAGAAGAAGGTGAACCATAATCGAGGGTTAACTTTAGGGGTTAACCATAATCATATATGTATGAGTCGAGTTGATATAGCAAAGAGATTTAGATCCTGCCCTGATTTTTTAGTCTAAAGTTTTGATCTTATTTTTGAAAAGTTGGGATGGGTTTATCCATTTCACATGTTTTTAAGCTAAAGTCAATTGTGTGTTATTTTTCTTTGAAGCACGTATCTCGTGAGGCTACAACCAACGTTGCCTTATCTTTGTCTTCGTACTGTGACAAAAAGAAAAAAAAATCTTTGTCTTCGTTTGTCCGGTAAAGCAAGTAAAATATATATCAACTAAACTAGATGTCCAAAAAAAAAAATATCAAACTAAATTTGGATTTAATTCCGAATAAGAACAAAGTTGCTTTACTTTTTTTTTTTTATTCAAAAAAGTAAAGTAGCTTTGTTCTTATTCGGAATTGAATCCAAGTTTAGTTGATTTATATTTTGCTCTAAATTATTTTCAACTCCCAAACTATGGTTGTTAAATCGAATTCTACCAAAATTTTCTCTTGTTTTTTGTTCCGATCTACACCACCACTAAGTTGGAGTTTTGTCAACGTAATTAAAATGTAATCGTGTTATTTATTACCAAGTTCGATCGCATCAGTGGTTATTTATTACTGAGTTTACCAACGTAATTAAAAATCAATTTGAGACTGTTCGATCGCATCTCTGAATATTTTCATATTGATTCCCAAGGTGTTACAATAATATTTTATAACAAAATTAGAAACAATACATACCAGCTATGTTATATGGAAACGGAAGTGGAAACGTGGAAGCGGAAACGCGGAAACAAAATCGTATGGAAGCACATAATCGAGATAAAAAAAAAAACGGGTACGTAATGGAAGCGTATATCCAAATATATATATATATATATAGACAAATTTTATAAAATTTATAACTAAGAATTATATGACTAATTTTAAATAAAGCATTTATTCATTTATTATAATTTTAATGATTGTATATTAGAATTGTGAAATACGAATAAATTAATTTTATACACAAATATTACCAATTAGTTATTTTTTACATTTAATAAATAATTGGAACACAAAATTTAAATATATATATATATATATATATGATATATCTCTAATAAAAACAGTGTATACATATGATTTATAGTATTAATATTAATATTTACACACACACATATATATATATTCTCACTATATCTATTATTATATATTATAAAAAATAAAAATAATTTTATATTTTATTTATTTATATATGATTTGTGTTTTTAAATTGAAAGCGAGATTCTAAAGGAGAAACGTAAACTTGCAAAATGTTTTTATATAAGCTATTTTAGAAGCGTTTTGGTATCGAAATTTCGCAAGCTTCCATAAAATTCCGATTTCGATTCCGGTTCTGAAACAAGAAATGCACGTCTGATAAAGCTTCTGTGCAACATAGCATACCAGTACATAAGTAATTAAGTAATGCAGCTGGTACTATAATTCTCAAATTTGATTTTGACTATCGGTGGAAATCAATATTTTGAAAACCGTATGGAACATCGACTCACTATAGCTATTGGTTGACTGATTCAACTAGTTGAACCAGGTTTTCTATATTTAAGAAATTAAATATTTACATTATATAGATTTAAAAGTAATTATACATATAATATATTCTATTTTCTCTTTTACTTAACTAGAATAAATAATAAGCATAAAATTTAATTATATATACGGTAAATAAGTGAAAACTTTGAAAAGTGAAACTGATAAAAACCAAATGTCTTGATTGTTCAAATTACTGTATTTGTTTATTTTTACAACTAAAGTTTCAAACTTTATGAATATGTCAAAATAAGAATAATATATGAAATCCACAAAATATATTTGTTAACCAAACAATTGATTGTTCAAATAACCATATTTATTTAATTTTACAAATAAAATCTTAGATTTTATGAATATGTCAAAATAAAAATAATATATGAAATCCAAAAAAAAATATTTGTTTACATTCTTTCTTAAGAAAATAAAAATAAATAGAAAATTAATCAAATACTAATATTCAAATCTTGATTATGAAATACTCTCTCTGTTTCTAAATAAGTGTCATTTTGACACTTTTCACGGAGATTAAGAAATTTGTATAATAAACTAACAGATCCCTATTTAATGTATGATTAATTAAATAAGAATGATTTAAATACAAATCTATTGGTTATTCAAAAGGGTAAAAAATGAATTTAATGTACAAAGTTGTATTGGGGTTGTAGAATGACACTTATTTTGAAACAAAATAAAAAAGCTAAAATGACACTTATTATGAAACATAAAGAATATTAAATATTAATAATAATTGAAAATACATTAATTATATATTAGTGTTTTAGAATCAAATTTTAAAGTTGATCCGAGTCACCGATTTTACCGATCTAGTCTTACCACTATTTTTTTCAAATCCAGATTTTCAACTGAACATATTTGGTGTCTTTAGCGAATCATAATCGGACCAGTTCGATCAGCTGGTCCGGTCCAGTAAACATGGAGATGTATGGAAACACTAAAACGGCCCTTTTTTTTAATCTCCACTTTTATCTTTTTATAATACCCACCAAATAAAAAATATTATCACCAATATTAAATTTATAAAATAAAAATAGTTAACTTGAAGTAAAACGGTATGGGGTCGATTGGCCGAACTGCAATTGTAAAAAATTTACTATAGAATATATAATTTTTTGATGTATTTGTATGTAATGTAGCTGTTGAAATTAAATGAAAAAATAAAAATAAAAAGATATTCCTAGAGCAATTCTACAATAGTTTTTGTTTTAGAAAATAAAATTCCTACAACCACTTTTTATTTTTTTAGTATTAGTTTTATAAACTATTTAAAACAAGTTGGTGATTTATATAGTTATAGATAGGAAATAAATCTAAAATTCACCTGTTAAAACCCAACCAATCACCATGTTATCATTATCAGCGATACACTAAAAATAGCCACCAAACAAACTATATTGATCAGTTTATTTTTAGCCTAAAAAAACAAATATACTGAAAGCTATACATTTTTATCAAAAAGAAAGTGAAGGTAGTATTGAGTTTCTTATTTGTTTGTTTTTTTTTCTTTTGGTTGTATCTATAAGCTATCTAGCTTATTAAATACACAAGATCTTACAATCTTTCATATTCCGAACTCTAATTGAAAAGCAGTTTGTGTATACCTGGTTATCTATACTATTATTTGCGAAGTGATTTTTTCGCAACGGAACTCTCACGTTAAAAGTTAGAATGGTTAATATCATTTATACCCTTAATGAATAAAATATATTAATCAGCCAAACATAAAAACGAAATTAATATTTATTTGATTAGATAAATGATTTAAATATTTATTAATGATAATAATTATCCATAATTTTAATATATATATATTATGTTGTTATCCGGAAAATATATTTTAATAAAAAAAATTCAAAAACAGAAAACACATAAATAAATATTCATAAAGTAAAGTTTTTAATTGTATATAATTGAAAAGATAAAATTGAAAATATGATAATACATAATTATTTTCAAATTAAAATAATATAATAATATAATGATATATATATTTGTGAAGTTATTTTTCAACTCTGAACTCACACGTTAAATTAAATTTATTTTAATATTTTAAATAATTAAACCTTAAACATGAATTAATCATAATAAAATTAAAAGATCATTCAAAAAGAAAGAAAATATGTGTTTGACGAAAATAAATTTAAATATATTATATTATTATCCAAACTAATATTCTTTTTTCAGTAAGATCAATTTTTGAATGTATATTTATCGATTCAATTTTTCAAATTGAAAAATAGATTTCTATTTTTTATATCAATTAAGAAAAAATGAAATAGATTTTCTATTTTTTAAAGTTTTAAAGGAAAAAAAAATAGATTTTTTAGAAATTTGTGAATAACTTTATCATGTAAAAAAATAATGTTTTAGTCGAAATTTTTGGATGCAAATAATCATTTATTTTGATGATTTTTTTAAAATTGACTTAAAGATAATTAAATCTGCATGTGCGGGTAAAACATGTTGAAATAGGCCTTGAATCTGCGTCGGTCGATACAGGTGTCATGTATCGGTCGATCTGACCGGACACATATCGATCGATATGGGAGATTTGTATCGATCGATATTGTCAAATCTGAGAAAATATGGAAAGTTTCATTAAACGCTTTCTTATATATACCTTTAGGGTTTTACCTTATTCTGAAAGCACGAGTTGTACTCTGAAAACTTGCCTCCATCAATAAAGTACTCTCTTTGCCTGTGGACGTAGCCGTTAGGGGCGAACCACGTTAAATCTCTATGTCTCTCTTTTCTATTTATCTATCTGTTAATCTATATCTTCTCACGTCTGTCACAACAAACTGGTATCAGAGCTTCGGGTTGAATCTGGTGAGAAGATGTCTGTGATGAATATAAAGATCGATAAGTTTTTTGGAAGGAACATTTTCAGTCTCTGGCAAATCAAGATGAAGGCGTTTCTGAAGCAACAAGGTCTTTGGGCACCGTTGTCAGGGAAGAAGGCTGAATCTGTTACTGCTGAGATGGAGGTTAATGAAGAGAAGGCGTATCCAACGATTTTGTTGTGTCTGGCAGATGAGATCATCATCGAGGTTTCTGGTGTTGGTACTGCAGCTGATTTGTGGTTGAATTTGGAGAGTCTATATATGACGAAGTCTCTGACTAAGAAGCTACTTTTGAAACAACGTCTTTTTGCTCTGAAGATGCAGGAAGGTACACAACTTCAGGATCACCTTGATAGTCTAAATTCCATTATGTTAGATCTGAGGAATATAGATGTTAAGGTGGAGGATGAGGATGCGGCACTGATTTTATTGGTTTCACTTCCTAACTCATATGAGAACTTTTTTCAGTCATTCACAGGGAGTAAGGATACAATGAGTTTGGAGGAAGTCAGGTCGGCATTTCATAGTAGGGAGTTGCGTCACAAGGCATCTAGTTCTGGTACAGATGACCAAGCTTCTGGGTTGTTTGTAGGTGGTGGAAAGAACTTTGAGAAAGACAAAAGGTCGTTTACAAAGGGTCCTAAGCCAACTGATATCTGTCATTATTGCAATGAAAGAGGACATTGGAAGTTTGATTGTCCTAAGAAGAAGAAGCAAGCTGATTCCGCTACTGTAGCAGAGAATGAAGCTAAGTCTAATGACGATTTTGCTTTAGTTTCTCATGGAAAACACATTCTAGGGATGTGTGGGTTCTAGACATAGGAGCGTCATATCACATGTGTCCAAGGAGGGAGTGGTTCTTAGAGTATGAGGAAGTGACTGATAGCAAGATCAAGATGGCGAATGACTTCGTTTGCGATGTTGCAGGAATCGGTTCGATAAAGCTCAAGGCACATGGTGGTAGAGTCTGCACATTGACTGGAGTTAGACATGTTCCAGCTATGTCCAAGAACTTGATCTCAGTTAGTCTTTTGGATAGCAGATGTTTCAAGTATTCAGGTGGAGATGGAGTTCTGAGTGTCTACAAGGGTTTAGATGTGATTATGAGAGGTTTCATTCATGGTACTCTGTATTTGCTGGAAGGTTCTACAGTTTCAGCAAATGATCTGGAACTTTGTTCATCAGAGTTCAATCAGTTTTGTAAGGATGCAACAGCTACAAAGCATCTTAGAGACAAAGATACACCACAGAAGAATGGTGTAGCAGATATGAACCAAACTTTGCTGGAGAAAACGAGGTGCATGTTTTCTAATGAAGGTTTGGAGAAGAGGAATAGGGATTTTGACAAACAGGTGGAGCTGCAAGAAGTGCAGTCGGACCAACCGTGTCGATCGATGAAGGATCAACAGTGTCGATCGAGGAAGGATCAACAGTGTCGATCGATGACGGGTCAACAGTGTCGATCGATGACGGGTCAGCAGTGTCGACCGATGACGGATCAACAGTGTCAATCGACGTCAGATGTTCAGTGTCGGTCGACGTCAGAAGGTCAGTATCGATCGACATCGGAAGAAGGGATCGAACGATCGACGTCAAACGAGCTGCCAGAGTTCTCTATTTCTGGAAATCAACGTGTTGGGTCTAAACCAAGGAGAGTTGATGTCAGACCACCAGAGAGATATCACTTTGATGATATGGTGGGTTATGCACTGCAGGTTGCAGAGGAAGTGGATACTTATGAGTCATTCACTTACAGAGAAGCTATTTCTAGTTCTGAGTCTGAGAAATGGTTTGTTGCAATGGAAGATGAGATAGAGTCTCATGAGAGGAATCATACATGGGATCTGGTCACACTTGAGTACAAGAGGTGTGACAGCTATATGGCTAGTTTGGACAATGACAGGAGTCCTTATGAATGTTGTTTTTACATGAGCAAGGTGGAGGATGGATCATGTATCTACCTGGTGCTGTATGTAGATGACAAGCTGATAGCTTCCAAGAAGATGTATGATGTTCAGAAGCTGAAAGAGCTGCTGAATTCTGAGTTCGAGATTTTCTGGTACCTTGAGGGTACATCTGATGTTGGTCTTGTCTATGGAGACAAGGATCCAAGACTGGTTACAAGCTATTCTGATTGGTATTATGCAGGAGATGTGGACAGCAGGAGATCTATGACTGGTTACGTATTTACTTTGGGTGATTCTGTTGTGAGCTGGAAGGCGACTTTGCAGTCGACAGTGACTTTGTCTACTACTGAGGCAGAGTATATGGCATTGACAGAAGCTGCTAAGGAGGCAATATGGTTGAGAGGATTGGTCAGTGATTTTAGTTTTCATCATGATCAGGCTATTGTATTCTGTGATAGCTTGAGTGCTATTTGTTTAGCCAAGGATCAGGTTCATCATGAGAGAACCAAGCATATTGATGTGAGATACCATTTTCTGAGAGATGAGAAAAGGATTGAAGTGAAGAAGGTAGGAACAGCTGATAATCTTGCGGATATGTTCACTAAGCCGGTTCCTCACAGCAAGTTCAAGCATTGTCTTGATTTGTTGAACATCTCAAGCTGTTAATCTGGCCCATGAGGGGCGTCTGGCCCTAAGGGGCATGTGGCTCTGAGGAGCGTCTGGTCCGACGGGACATCTGACATCTGAGTTCGACGGAACATCTGAGGCAAAGAGAGAGTCTGATACATCTGTTCTGAGCACGAAGAAGTGCATTCTGGTACATTTAATTAAGGAGGATTCAAGTCAAGGTGGAGATTTGTTGAAATATGCCTTGAATCTGCGTCGATCGATACAGGTGTCATGTATCGGTCGATCTGACCGGACACATATGGATCGATATGGGAGCTTTGTATCGATCGATATTGTCAAATCTGAGAAAATATGGAAAGTTTCATTAAACGCTTTCTTATATATACCTTTAGGGTTTTACCCTATTCTGAAAGCACGAGTTGTACTCTGAAAACTTGCCTCTATCAATAAAGTACTCTCTTTGTCCGTGGACATAGCCGTTAGGGACGAACCACGTTAAATCTCTGTGTATTTCTTTTCCATTCATCAATCTGTTAATCTATATCTTCTCACGTATGTCACAGCAAAACACCTAGTTAGTAATACACATGCATTAAAGCAGAGTTCCACATTTTCTAATCCAAAAATAGAATAATAATTTTGACAAAAGTAAATAAAATATTTGAGATCAGCTCAGCATCTTTAAAAATAAAACAATGATCATACTGATAGTTGGTACAAAACTACGTGTACAATACACCTCGAGATCGTCCCCGTTCACTCTAGCCTAATACAATCAGATTATTATTTCTCACTGGTTTCACTAACCAAGGAAAAAAAAAAGCGAAATAATCTATTCTATTGACCTGATAAAATATTCAACCGAACGAGCTCGATCTGAATCTAAAGTCATTGCAACACGATGTCCATATATTATATCCACATTTGTTGATTTAGCAATGGTCCAACACAAGAAGAAGAAGGCATCATGTCTATAATCTTTACTCTACCATGAACTAGACTTAATATGCAAACACAACAGTTCATAATCATTCCAAGGATATTGAGCAAACAAAAATGAATATCTTTTTCTTTTTTTTTCTTTTCTTTTTTTGACATCAAATGAATATCAAATACCAAGATCTCTAACACAAGTTCCCAACTCAGCGGTCATAGTCAACAAACACTAATAATGTCCACCGAAACGAAGAACTGAATTAGATGATAATACCGTGTAGCCAAAATCAAAGCGCAAAGAGAAATGAATTGATGCCGAACATGAAGAAGACAAAAAAACGTGAAAAGAGAGACACGTTCTTCATCATGACAAACCATATTTATAAATTATAACCCTTTCTCTGCCATATGATTAGACGAAAATCCAAGGATAACTGAATAAATCATAGCTGAAGATCAAACAAAACATCTTTGATATCATTTCAAGATCCCAAGTCCCCCAACACAAGAATCATAGTTAATGAACTTCGACGATAATTTGATATTGAAAATGAACCATATTTTTCAGAGACATGTCAGTGAATTACAGAAGCATAAAGCTAAGAGACTGATCAATCTGCGGATAATTCAGGGGATCGTAAAAATTTCCAGGTCCTATCTTAAAAAAACAAAATTCAAACTAAAGATTAGATCTCACTTAGCAACGTTTGAAACCGATGACGATGCCCTTCTTCTAGCAACTCTAAGTATGTTTGCTGCTTCTCTCATTCCACTTAAGAAAGCTCCGTGCATAGTAGCCGGATACTGTTTGTTCGTCGCTTCACCTGCAAAGAACACTCTTCCATCTCCTACACTCTCTGCTAAAATGTCATAATCATCTCCAGATGATCCCACCGCAACATACGAGTAAGAACCATACGAAAACTTGTCTTGTCCCCATCTGGAACAGAGGGCTTGAACCGGATCAGGAACAACGATTCCTTTCGGGTGATAAATTCCACGTAGTATCTCCAACACCCTTTTAACAGAATCAGTAGGAGACAATGTCTCAAACCTCTCTGCTGCATCTCCAGCTACAAGTGCCACAAGTAATGGACCACCAGAGACGGAAGAGTAGCTGTAGAACAAGAAGAACTCTCCTCTCGTGCTTGAATCCTCAGTTAATCTCCCAAACGTATCAATCTCCTCCCCCCAAAAGTTATAAGGAAACAACATCGCAACTTTGTTCAACAACCCATATCCAAGCCTCTGAATTGCTTCTTTCTTCTTCTCAGGAAGCTCAGGATAAAACCCAATCCCCCCTTTCTTCAAAACACCTAACGGAACCGTACAAAGAGCCATGTCACAGGAAAACTCCTTATCACCCGCATAAACCATAACCCCATCACTCCCATACCTAATACTCTCCACAATATTCCCATAAAAAACAGGCAAATTCTCAGCCAAAGCATGCACAAACGTCTCATTCCCACCAGGTATAAAACAATGATCACCCCCCATCTCATACGGATCATCCTGATCCCAATACGCCATCGACAAGTTACCCAACAACGTCGCATTCGCATACTCCAAATTCGCTAAATGCCAATCTAACAACATCCTCTCCTCCTGATCCTCAGCAACACCATAAACCAACCTAAAAGTCTCAAGCGCTTCACCCAAAGGCACATCCACAGACTTAATCTCCTCAATCATCGACTGCCTAAGCTTACAAACCCTATCCAACAACTTATTAAACGACGCCTCAATCTTGGAATCAACACCAACATCAACAAGCTCACCACTAGGTAGATACAAAGGACAAATATCTCTAACTTTATGAAGAGGCAAACCAAGCTGCCTCGCCAAGACACCAAGTGGATTCCCATTAATCCCAGTCAACACACTCCCACCAACATCAGCCATTGCCTCAACACCATCCCCACCCTTCATCCTCCGGGTTTTAACCCGGCCGCCCGGTCTACCCCTCCCTTCCAAAACCAAAACCCTAAACCCCATAGACAACAACTGCCTAGCAGCAACCAAACCAGCCAACCCCGCACCAACAACAACCACATTAGGAGGATCTTGAACCAAACCATCAAACGATCTCAATTTCGCCTCTTTGATAACCGGAGCTAAACCGAAATTAATATAACCGTGCTCAAGTAGAAACTTATAAGCAGTATCCACCAACGTCTTGTGCTCTAACCGTATAGACTCGAGCGCGTGATCCCTCGTCAGCCAATTAGAGACGTTGGATCTCCACAAGGCGATGATGTGGTTCCTAACGACGATGTAATTGGCCTGCTCTTTGCCTCCGATGATGGAGACGACGTTGGCTTCGATCTCTTCCTCTGTGAGGGAGTTAACGGGGAAACCGACGGACATGGCGGTTATGGCTTCGGAGTCGAGCTCTTTGCCGACGCTGTGGCGGCGGTTACGGGAGAAGGCGGGGTTCGCGTTTATCTCTGTGAAGAAACGTTTTCTACGGCGTCGTTTTCTTGTTCTGGGGCCTGGCTCTAAGGGATTGTTAGGGTTTTGGGATTGGGATTGGGATTGTGATTGTGATTGGGGTTCTGTTACGAGGTCGGAGGATTCTTCTTCTTCGCCGAGGGATTCGGAGATGCTTGGGATGTATGCGTCTTCGTCGGATTCGCTTGGGTGTGATTTCTCGGTGGGGTTAGGGTTTGGATCTGGGATAGGGATTTCATTATTGTCGATTTTGGCGTTGGTTACGTCGATGTTGGAGGGTGTGATGGCTTCCTTCGTTGGAGAGGCTTGGGTGTTGGTTAGAATATCAGTGTTTGTTTTCGGGTTTTCCGGGGTTTCGGGTCGGATCTCTTGGTTTTGCTCCATTGCGGTGGAGCTTTACTATCTCTGTATCTGTGTAGCGTTTCGTGTCGTGGTTTTGAGTGAGTGTGAAAGGAGGACGGCGTTTTGATAGAATCAAAGCTTCATTATAAATGGGCCTGGCCCAATATGGAAGGCGATTAGAGTCGCTGCAAACATGGTCAGAAGGAGAAACCATAGCCATAATAAGATGCCAGACACAATGCATTGTACCAAACGCAAAGATGCCACTTATCTTCAACCCATGAATGAGTCATGACAATTCCACTGTCCCTGAGACGAACACTGTGAATGAGGAAAAATAAAACTCCGAGAATACGATGCAGAAGCTACAAGGAATCGATATTTTCGTAATGTTTTGGGACCAAAAGCATTTTGCAGCCAAGGTTTTGAGAAACGTTGCGTTTGGTAGGAAAAGCCCTTGTGAGAACAGTGACTCTTCCGGTTTCTGGCGGTGTAGGGATTGCTCATGTGGCAGCAAGCCAGAAGCTCAGCGAAGAGTGGTAACAAGAGAAAATGGATACACCATATTGATTAAAGATCAGGAGAAGAACATGTCACTAGACAGTAAAAGTATATATATAAACTATAGAAAAGTTTTTTGATTGTTGCGTAACACTAAACGCCAAGAAAATGACATACTCATCTAAGTTAAAGCTTTGGAGTCAACATGGACTCCATTTGTATTGGTTTAAGTTTTAATCCCAGCTATTCCGGTCTCTTCTGGCAGCTTTCTTGTCCGAAAGAACTTTTTTGCTTTTAAGCCGTTTCTCATCAGCTTTGGCAGCCCTGGCAATGTTAAGAAAACAACTGGTAAGCGAAGGAAGAAAGATGGATTCATGGAAAGGAGGACTGGTTCTTACATCTTTACGATTTTCTTCTTCTGTTCTTCTGACGGTGGTGGTGGAACATATGAAGCCGCATCAATAATCGCCTGTTCAAGTTTAAACCAAAACATCTCAGCATCATATAGAAATGACCAAAGATGGCGACATCCAATAGAAAGTTTACCTGCAGCTTTGCAAGTGCATCGTCGATGTTGCCTCTGCGTAAAACATATACTGTTAAAAACGGGAGAGTTTGCTTGAAAAATGGAACAAGAAAATGAAAGATGATTAGGTAACTGACTTCTGCGTCCTGGTTTTGGTTGAAGAGATGACGAGTTCTCCGTCCCTGTTGATCCGATTCTTCTCCTGTTGGGATCAGCCGCAAACATCAAACGACATGTTTCACACTATCTGTAGTACTTTCTCAATGGAACATGACAGATATAAAACTGCTGCTCATAGTACTGGAGAAGGGATAATAGTGTAGAAAACAAACCGTTTGTATGATCTTCTCTCTGATCCTGTCACTTAGCCAGTACGCGTTTTTCACATTGAAGCGCATATCTACTTTGGTATTCACTGAAAGAAGAAAGAAAGAAAGTTGGTAACATGCGAAGGATATACAAGCAGTGATACATCAATACAAAGAAGGGTGCGGAAGAAAAGGTCAGACCTTTGTTGACATTCTGGCCTCCAGGACCACCGCTTCTAGCAAAGTTAAGTGTAACATGCTCTGCACACATACAATTGAAACTATGTAAACAGATCAAAATCACTACAGAACAGAGTTCTTATAACATTCTCTCTAAATGTTCCATCAAAAGGACTACAGAACAGGTTCTTCTAGCATTGTATGTACATGTTCCATCAAAATGACTACAGAACATATTGCTTAAACCTGTCTGTCCTAGGTTTGATTCCCGCCAGGAACTAAGTTGCTATTGTTTGACTAGACAAATGCCTCATATGCAAATCCAAGGCCAGACTACTAATCGGTACCGGTCTCCCAGAAGATTAGTTGGGCTTTGGCCGAGACACCCCATTGAACAAACAAATCACTACAGAATAGAGTTATTATAACGTTGTCTGCAAATGTTCCATCAAAATGACTACAGAACAGAGTTCTTATAACATTGACTGTAAACGTTCCATCAAAATGACTACAGAACAGAGTTTTTATAACATTATCTGTAAATATTCCATCATAATCACTACAGAACAGAGTACTTATAACATTGTACACGTTCCATCAAAATCACTAAAGAACACAATTTATGTAACCTTGTCCATACATAGTTCCACTAAATCTACAAACTTTCCCTATAAATGAGGCTGCAAGTACCAAACACATACAGATGAAACTATGTGAACAGATAAAAAACTACTACATATGAGCTTAATCTTATCAACAGATGTTTCAATCAGATGAAGATAAACGACATCGTTTTGAGATTAGAACACACTAAAACCTATACCTAGAGTGATTTGAGGAGTAGGCTCATTGCCAGCGGAACTAGCCCTCTCCTCCGCCTCATGAAGCATCTGTTGCACCTGAGACAACCGTGACGAAACTTTCCGATCACCACCACCGCCTCCGCCGGAATTTGACGCCGCGCATCGGAACGATCCGAATCGTAAATTAGAGCGAACCAGAGCAACCCCGGGAATGCGACGGATCGATGGGAAAAGAGATTGGCACGATTTCGACGAAGAGTGGAAGAGGAGAGGGTGATGGATAAACTCGCGTACGATCAAGTTCGTCATCGTCCTTATTGCCGCCATTTTTTTCTTGGCCTGAGAAGAAGTTTCTGATGTGAATGAACAGTGACTAACGAAATGTGGAAGGCGAGAGGGGAGAAGAAGGCCCTAGCTTTACGTGGCTACCAAATTTCCGGTTATTAACGGTTTGTTTAGACGGTTTGGAATTTGATTTCCCGGTTATTAAAAGTTGAAACGTGATTTCACGGTTCAGAACCGCCGGTTCCAGGATTAAACATAAGGCCCAACCTTACTTTTAGAATGGGCTTGGGAGAGTATTAGTCTATTACTCTTTTAGCCCCAGAGGCCAGAATGGTATACGTTATACATGAAACTGTATTACATGTTAAAATGTTACTGTATTACATGAATACATATACAACAAGAAAAACAAAAATTAAATAACTACACGATCGGAGAATTTCATGCGAGCTTGAAACCTTTGTCACTTTTTGAGTATCAGATCTCTGTTATATTACATTGGTCTAGTTCCAATTTAGATCTATAAATATTTCTTGGTTTAGAATCTCATTATTGATTCAATCATAAGAAATAAATTTTATAATGACTAATTTTCAACATTATAAAGATATCGCCATACAATAAAAAAAAATTACTTGCTTCGTGGATGATGTACTCCATAATTTCAGACACATATCTTGATACCAAATATATTGTATGCAATATAAGTTTTGAAGAAGAATTAGTTGGCTGACATCATATTTTTTCCTTTATATATCTTCTTCTTCATGTTGAATCCATGGTGGTTTCAGCGGTGGCCGTAATTTCTATAAAAAATTCGTAAAGATTTGTTTCGACCACCGTGGATTTCATATACCATCTTCACGTCTCCCTCTCAATAAAAATTGCCGGACATACATGCTCCCGAAGAGAGAGATAGAAAATAAGAAACATTGATGATGAAACATCAACAAAAACAGATGTTGATGATCATGATTCAATGTTTTATATAGAAACTGAAAAAGATAAACATAAAAGAAGAGTATGACCACCATCGGATCAACGTCGGTCAGAGAAATTATGGTGAAACGGCAGATGAGGGGTGATTATAAAATACACCTGAGGAGTTTATTTATTTATTTGGATCTTTTTATTATCAATTATAAATTTATCATGTTACAAATATTAGAAAAGAACAGACGCTTTTTTATCATATAATGAATTAATATTCAACTTAAACATAAATAACACCAAGTTGACAATGTAATGATCCCTTCCAGAACAACCAGTCAACATAGTAAACATTACCATTTAGAGACAAAGAAGATTCTAAAAAACAATTAACAATACATAAATTAGGAAAGAACAAGATCACTGAGAATTTATGAAGCAAAAAAAATTATCTATAAAACGAAAGAAGACGATAAAAGAAGCTGTGATGAACGAGAAAGCACTGAAGATCGAATTTATTGAGGTGATTGAACATCTTTAAGATATGCCAAAGGACCACGAGCAAACATCACTCAAGAACAAGCTTCACCCGAGGAAGCCACGAAAACACGGATCTCCATCTGAGTAGTTGATAAAGAAGACGGGTGACAATCAAACTATTTAAACCAAACGAAATTGAGTGAAAATTCTACAGTCCCTTACCAAAAAATCTAGAGAAATCTGTCGGTTTAAAACCAAAGAACGACATAACATCACAATATCGCAGCTGCACAATGATCATTCCAAAAATAAACCCAAGGGACAAGCACCAATATTTTACCGGAAAGGGAGGCGGCGCCACCAAGAATAGATGACATAACCTTAAAGCACAATTAGGAGACCCAAACTGAAGATACTAAGAAGCATCACACATCATTGCCTCAAGACCACCAAAAAAAAAAAAAACTCATTAAACTACGGGTGCCGAGCCATTATAAGAGAACGTTACTTAAAAAGACAAATTTTGTGTTTTGTTTGCAGTTAAAGACACATTGTAGTTTGACACACTTTCTATGTACAGTTGGATAAATTGAAGACTAAAATACCCTTATTTGGTTTAAAGAAATAACTGATTAAAATAAATATTTTCTTTCTATGTCAAAAAACTAAACGATGCGTTTTGAGATGAACAAAACGAAGAGGAGATGGTGGTTAGAAAGCCGTGGATGGTGGTTACAAAACCGTGGATACAAAATGATGGTTAAGCGTTTTTGTTAGGGATGCCTTATCATTGTTGTGGACATGATTGTTGTGGTTAGAGTCAAGATAACTTTTTTTTTATGGACGCCTTGTTAACAAGATTCTCGCCACTACTTCTGACCATAGTTTCTAATACATAGAAGATGGATGTGATATAGTGCAGGTAAATAAAAAAATAACTTAACTTGACAAGCATACACAAAAAGTCTAGAAACTGTAGATGTTACAAAAGCATACATAATGTTTGGAAAGGAGACATATGGACAGACGTGATATGGACGAGTAATTTGTGGACAACGGAGTCATGGTAATGAGAAGTTTGGACATGTGTGATGTGATCAAGATCGAAGGAGACGACTTTAGACTCCGAGTCATCATCAAGCTAACCCAAAATACAAAATAATGTGTGGATGATTGAATCATGGGAAGGAGAAGTGTGGATAAGAGTGTTGTAATCTGGATCAAAAGAGATGACTTCGGATTCAGAACCATCATCGAACTAAAACTACATGTATAGAATCGTTGTTACCTATGAGACTTTCTCGGCCGTAGATTTTCACCATCACTGCTGCAGATCCTAAAGCTTGATTGTGGCAACCACTAATCTAAAAGTTTTTATAAGATTGTTTGTTACAAAAACGTTATTTTTGAATTGTTGATTGTGCAAATCAATGATACAATTGTAAGGATGATTTGAGAAATAAAAGGTAAAATTATAAACAAAGAAGATAAAAGAAGAGGCAAGTGAGTAGACAATTTTTTTAGGTTGACATAAATATATTAGATAATGTGATGAGGGTTTTTTAGTTTTTTCTACTTGAGAAAGTGTGTCATATGTTGTATGTGTCTTCTTATGTAATTGTAAATATAAAAAGTGTCTGTGAAGATAAATTTCTCTTGTTTCAAAGCTAAGCTGTAAACCCAAAAGCATATAAACTCTTGTATTTAAAGCCTCTCACAAGATTTTCGAAGAACATTTCATTTTGAAAATCTATCTTTAACTTGGTTAAAATTGGCATGTACTAATGCAAAAAAAAACTACTAGGAAGTGTGCCAAAATGAAAAAAAAAATAAGATTTTTGTGTAAATTGGTGAAGGAGCAGTAATTATTTCTTTTTTTAAAGTAACTTATTATTAGCATGTACAACGACAACAAAAGAAAATTGACTTTAGTTCATATGTTTGTTAAACTAATAGAATCTTCTATAAGATGTAAAGGATGTTTTCTATTGATTGAGAGATGTACATATTTATACATAGTTGTAGAGTTATTCTAGGAGATAATCATGGTGATTGATATACAATATTGACAGGGAATATACGATAGTTATGAGAGTATCAAGTTTCCTTAATATACCCCCTCAAGATGGAGGTGCTATTGCAACACCAATCTTGGATGGAACTTGAATGAAAGGAGCACGCGAGAGAGGCTTCGTAAGAGCATCAGCAAGTTGATCCTTTGAAGAAACATGAGTTACCCTAAGAGTTCCTGCCGTTATCTGATTTCTTATGAAATGATAATCAAGTGCCAAGTGCTTCATGCGAGAGTGGAACACCGGATTTGCACACAAATAGGTAGCCCCAACATTATCACAGTATATAACAGGAGGTTATGTAATATTAATGCCAAGTTCAACCAAGAGAGAACATATCCATCTTAGTTCTGCCGATGTGTTTGCCACTGACCTGTATTCTGCTTCAGTTGAGGACCTCGCAACTCCTTTTTGCTTCTTAGATGACCAGGAAATTGGATGTTTTCCAAGGTAGATAATGTATGCGTTTGTAGACACAAAATCGTCAACATCCCCTGCCCAATAAGCATCTGAATAAGCGTGTAGAGAAGGAGTGTTGTTGATGCTAAATAAGAGACCATGTGAAGCTGTTCCAGCTAGATACATGAAGACCCTTTTAGCGGCTTGCCAATGATCAGTTGTGGGAGCATGCATATACTGAGACAGCTTGTTAACAGCATAAGAAATGTCTGGTCGCGTGAAAGCGAGATACTGAAGACTTCCTACGGCAGAACGATATTCTCTCGGATCAGTAAAAGTGTTCCAGTGTTGATGGTGAGCTTAGGATGTGTCGCCATAGGTGTAGCGACATGATGAGCATTTAGTAGCTTGAATCGAGAGAGAAGATCCAGAATGTACCTCCTTTGCGTGAGATAAAGACCAGATGATGTCCTCATCGCTTCAATTCCTAAGAAATAGTTGATGTCTTCTGGTTCTTTAACTGAGAAGCGTGTAGCTAAGGCATCGAGTACTCGTTGCAGTAGAGCTGTATCGTTCCCAGTGACAATAATATCATCAACGTAAATGAGCATATAGATGAGACTTGAACCTCGTCGTAGAATAAACAGTGACGTATCAGCTAAGGAATTGACAAAACCAAACTGAATGAGAAAGTTGCTGAGTTCTCGATATCAGGCACGTGGAGCTTGTTTGAGACCGTACAGTGCTTTGTGGAGACGACAAACATGATGAGGTTGGTCGACGTCAACAAAACCGAGAGGCTTGATAGTGTAGACTTCCTCCGTCAAAGTACCCTGAAGGAAAGCATTGTTTATGTCTAGTTGCTTGATAGGCCAAGAGCGACTCGCTGCTATGTCGAGCTCTAAATGAATCGTGGTTGACTTGATAACAGGCTGAAGGTCTCTGTGTAGTCGATACCTGGTAACTGAGTGTAATCACATGCGACGAGACGTGCTTTATACCTGCGAAAAGAGCCATCTGGATTATATTTAATTGTAAAGATCCAACGACAGCTTACTGGATTCTGATTCGGGGATGGTGGAACAAGAGAGAACATTCCATTTTTGACAACGGAGTTGAACTCATCGGTAACGGCTTGTCTCCATCTCGGGTCTGCTAGAGCTTGAGCGATGGTTATGGGAATAAAATGGTCGTTTTGGGTTAGCTTGGCTGCAT